CTACTTGGGTTGTCAAGTGTTGGAGTTGAGATTCAAATCTGGTTTTTCTGTTTTTTTTTTTTCACTTTAGATAGAGTATGCACTTTTAAAACTAATACCCAAAATGCCGCCGACAATGAGTCACACCTACCCAACTTCATTTCCCTTTCATACAAATTTCACTATTCTCGGACAAGGCACTTAGGGAAAAGTGGTACATGTCAGATGTCTGAATCTGGGGGAGTACATTTGCTTTATAGACAAATGAAAAAGATAGCCAGAATGTGAGAATAAGGAGATGGCTAATGAAATGACAGGTCCAAGCAACAGTTCACAGATTATCAAACCAGTAGGGGACAGTCAAAGGAAAATTTACAAAGGCAGGATCAGGCTGATGGCATGTGAACCCCTGATAGTCCTCAGCAACGAAGACAGCCAGACTTTATATCCCCCTGGTGAGAGTTTCCAGCACCACTTAGAAAGAATTGAATATCTTTCCATTTTTGAATTTGTGTGGGGACAAAGACAAATGTTAAATGACATAATAAAGAGATGCCATCAGCCAATACCAAACTAGGGGAAACTGTAGAGCAAACAGCCTGGTTCTTTTTTTTGGACCCCACCTTGAAGCACGTGCGGTCTTAGATCTCTCATCAGGGATCAAACTCGTGCCAGTTGCAGTGAAAATATGGAATACCTAGTCCCAACAACTGGACCACCAGGGAATTCCCAACCTAACTTTTTATGCAAACGAATTACCAAAAAAAAAAAAAAAAAAAAAAACCCAAGAGAGAAACAGGGAAAGGAAATCTTGTAAAACAAGGTTATATAGGTTTAACCTGGTTTAAACCTATTGTTTAACCAGGTTAGACAAACTTGCTAAGCAATATTTCAGAGATTCATTAACAAAATGCTGTGTGAGGATCTCGTTTAGATTCTGACTCAAACACATCAAAGAAAGAAAGAAAAAAAAAAAACAGAACAACTGACATCTGAAACTGATGCAACATTGTAACTCAACTATACTTCAATTGAAAAAACACGTGATGGGGGAATTTTTACAGACTGATACTTCCGATAAACATGTAAGTATGATCACAATATTGTGGTTAAGTTTTTTTTTTAAAGTGTTGCTCTTTAAAAAAAAAAAAAAAGATAAAAGGAGAGTACTTACAAATGAAATGGTGTGATATCATCTGATTTTTCTTAAAAATGCCCAGTGAGTATTAATTCATTCAGACAATAATTGATGCTAAATGAGTGAGTTGGATGAGTAACAGAATTTTTGCAGTCTCAAAGGACCTCCCCACAAGATACTTAACTTCAAAGGAGGAAATAGTTACTTTAAAGTGGAGAAACTTTGCCCCTATCTCCAGGTGATCGGTTAACATTTTTAGTGATGGAACTAATTGAGAAAGATCTATCAATTCTTTGGTATTTCTGCCCCCCAAAAAAATCCATAACCTGAATCTAATCATGAGAAAACATCAAACTTCTGCTGAAGGACATGCTTCCAAGTGACTGATGTATATTTTTCCAAAATGTCAGGGTTACAAAAGACAAAGAAAGCTTCAGAAACTGTTCTGATTGAAGGTAACTAAAAAGACAAGTGAACACAACAAGCTGGGGTTTTCTTCTGCTATCAAAGTCGGCAATGGGACAATTGGTGAAATCTGATTAAAGTTTGTAGATTTGCTGATTTTGACCATTCTACTGGGTTTTGTAAGAGAATGCCTTGTCCTTAGGAAAAGTGAAATATTAAGGTAGATGTATGTATGAATAGATAGATAGATAGACAGGAGCCTGGACTGAAGTGTAAGTGATCCTTCTTAACCAGGATCAGTTTTCTCTGAAATTCTTGTACGAGTGAGAAATCAGTTTCTCTTAGTTACTAATGGATTTCCCTGGTGGCTCAGTGGTAAAGAATCTGCCTGCCAATACAGGAGATGTGGGTTCGATCCCTGGGCTGGGAAAATCCCCTGGAGCGGGAAAGAGCAACCCACTCCAGTATCCTTGACTGGAAAATCCCATGTACAGAGAAGACTGGCAGGCTAACGTCCATGAGGTCACGAAAGAGTGCAGCATGACCTGGCGACTAACTAAGACCGATATATATTACACTGCCAGCTGATAAGCAGGTGAGGGACTAGATAAAAGAAGAAGGTGGTCAGAGTAGGCTTCTCTGAGGAGGTGGCATTTGGAAGCATGTAGGTATCTGGGGGAAATTTATTGACTCTGGCCTGGTCTGTGCCTCTTCCTCCTCCCAATCCCAACAACCTCCTCCCAACCTCCAAACAGAGGTTGTCTCTGAACTGCTGGAGGAAGGAGAATTCCGATGGGGGCGAGTGTGTATGTGTGTGTGTGTGCTCACGTGGATCTCCATCTCTAGCCACCATCCACTCCACTCCTTTCTTCCACTGGCTGCCCTAGCTCTGTGTAGGTGTTGCTGGGCAGAGCTTTGGTTTGAGGGCTGGGTTCCCTCAAAGCTCCAGATCTATTTTCAAAGGATCTGCTGGGCCCTGTGCCTGTGGACAAAGAAGGGAGTGTCATCCTGGAGCCCAGTTACAGAGCTACTTTTTAGCTGCATCCCAGCTGGGCATCTCCTGGATCTAGGGGGCAGGGGGTGGAGGCGGGCAGGGGGAGCTGGTGGGGCCTGGCTGCCCACACTCCCCACTCCTTCCATGGCAGAGGGGATTGAGGATCCTTTCTCTGGCCCACTGGTGGAACTGGTATGATCTGGAGTCAGCCCGCTTGAGTTCAAATCCAGACAGGAACATTTATGATTACTGAAAAAAAAAAATTCAGCCAGGCACTGTCAACCAGCTGTGTGAACCCTAAGCCGCTCATTTAAATTCTCTGAATCCTCATCTCCATAAAAGGAGTTTATCAGTAACTCCTGCCTCCCGAGGATTCTGTCTTCCTACCTGGAAAGTGCTTGCTGGGGACTTCCCTGGTGGTCCAGTGGCTAAGACTCCATGCTCCCAATGCAGGGGGCCCAGGGTTCTATCCCTGGTCGGGGAACTAGATCTCACATGCTGCAACTAAGAGTTCACATGCTGCAACTAAAAATCTTGCATGCCACAACAAAGATAGATCTTGCGTGCCACAACTAATACCCGGCATAACCAAATAAATAATTAAGGGGGGAAAAAAGAAAGTGCATGATGAGGTTGGCCATTCACTTACGGAACACTGGGCTTTAGAGGGGTATCTGAATCTGTGTCTCCCAAGACCATCTCTCCAGCTGCCTGGGAGGAATGTACACTTGGGATGAAGAAAGGGGTTCCCCACCACCTGCCAGACTTTCTCTCTGAAGGATGGGCAGAGGTCCTGGGACTAACCAATCACTGGGAGGGGCCAGACAACTGCCCGGGGGTGGGGAAGATGTCAGCATTTACCCAGTTTTCTCAGAAGCCACTGAGATCCTGGCTCTGACAGGGCGAGGTGTTGGGGAAAGAATGAACCAGAAGGCTGGAAAAGGATGAGTGGTCTGGATAGCAGACACCCTCTCCCTGCCCCCACCCACCCCCAGGGTGCTAATGGGGCAACCGCCGCCTTAAGCCTCAAAAGACAACCACCACCAGAAAGAGACACTGAACCGTTTATTGGCCTGGGCCTGAGTCTCAGGCAGGAGGGGCATCCGGGGAGCTGTGTAAGGGGAGACGAGCCCCCCAACTGGCTCCTTGCCCCCCCAGAGATCCCCTCCCCCAGCCTTTGCAGTCACAAGAAATCACTTTCAGGAGTGAGGGTTCCTTACCCCCACCCCCAGGTGAGCTGCACCCCAGCTCTCCAGCAGGGAGATAAGCCAGCAATGACAAAGGGGTCGGCGCAGGACCAGACCTCTCTTTGGCAGCTTCAATACAGAGAGGAGACAAAATAGCATGCATCCTGGGAGACATGGCGAGGGGAGGGGCCCACATATATTACACATACACATACACACACACGCACAGACACTGACAGACACGCATAAATACATGTTTGTACCGCAATATCCGTTCCCTCTATCCACAGATTTAGCAAAGTCTTCCTGGAGTGGGTTAAGAGAGGGCATCCCACCATTGTCCTTGATACCCCCACCCCGTGTGCTCCATCTGGTGTAGCTGGAAAGAAGGCACAGGAGGCTCAAGGCTGTCCTGCCCTAGACTGGGTACCTTGGCTGGGTCTGGAAGTGAGTGGCGCTTGAGGGAGGGTGGTTATTTTACGCGGGGTCGGAGGTATGGTGTCAACAGCTCCCCTAGAACTTTCTCCTATTCCACCCTGCCCCACTGGGAGAGCCCTCCTCAGGCCCCCAGACCAGTTTTCCCAGCCCTGGGTGACTCCTCTGAGGCCCCAGTAGTGCAATCTGGCCAATGAGGTCTGAGAATGGGGGTTAGTCCCCCCCACCCCCACGTGGTTTCCTGGCATCTCCTGTAGAATAAGAAAAGAAAGGGAAGAAGTTGCCAGAGTGGCAGCTGGTGACATTTGGGGAAGCTGTGGATTTGAGGCCAGGAACTGTTTGCCCCAGGGCCGCCCAGAAAGGTCAGAGAGGAGGTGGTCTCCAGCCCCTCAGGATGCAGTGGTTCCAGAGGAGTAGGCTCTGAGGTGGCCAGGAGAAGGTGGCAAGGGGGGATGGTAAATTCAGAGAAGGGAGTCAGAAATAGGACGGAGGGTCAGGCAAAATGTTGACCTTCCTCATCCGGGGCTGGAAATGGCTCCTATGCTGTGTTCCACTCGAGCACCTGCCTGCTGTCACTCGGGTCCTTTCCAGGCTCCCCCACCCAACCCCCGTCCCTGGTCCTCCCCACGATCCAGTTTCAAAGAGGTCACCATGCTGAGTCCCAGGACCCTGCTGACTGGTCAAAGCCTCAGTTGACCGTCTCAAGCATGAAAAATCTTCAGCATCACCCAGGTCTGTGGAATGGGGGCATCTTACTTGGCAATCCCTGCAGGCCCCCGCAGCCCCATTTCTGTCCCAGGTCCCCGGAGCTTCTCCACAGAACTCTCTGCCATGGTGGTCTGGCTGTCAGCCCACTTGCCCCTCACACCATTGTGTTGCCCTCCAGAAATGTGGGTGACGTGGGCATCTGCATGCCCTTCTCCAGGGAACTGGAGCTGCGAAGGGGCAGGAGGTGGTGGCCCGGGGTTCCATCCCGCCGCCCTTGCACCCCTGCCGCCTGCCGCCAGAACTGCAGCGGCCGTAACACCTCCCGCCGCAGGTCCCGGCTCCGCCACGTGTAGATGACCGGGTTGAGCAGCGAGTTGAGGGTGGCGAAGGCAAAAAAGTAGTGGGCCTGGTAGAGCATGGGGCAGGTCCGGACTGGACAGGCATAGTCCAAGAGGAGGATGCTAAAGGCGGGCAACCAGCAGAAGATAAAGACCCCCAGCACGATGGTGACCGTCTTGAGCAGGGCGAGTGTCTGTGGGGCAGCCACATCAGCCTGGCTGGAGCGGACCACACAGTAGATGCGGATGTACAGAGCTACGATGGCCGACAGGATGACCGAGAAGATGGTCACCACGCAGAGCACGTAGGGCTTGGCATAGAGCGGCAGAACGGTGGAGCAGGTCTCCAGGTGGCCCAGGCAGTTCCAGCCAAGGATGGGCAGGCCGCCGAGGACCAGCGAGATGAGCCACGAGGCCGCGATGAGCAGCAGCATGCGGCAGCTCTTGTCACTGCCGTAGAGCTTGACCTTGGCGATGGCCACGTGCCGCTCGATGGCGATGGCCAGGAGACTGAAGACAGAGGCGGAGAGCGTGATGAAGGCAGAGCCCTCGCGGGCGAACCACTGCACAGGCGTCAGCCCTAGTGTGACAGAACCGGAGAGCAAGGTATTGGCTATGAAGGCCACGCCCGCCAGCAGGTCTGATGCCGCTAGGTTGCCCAGGAACAGGTACATGGCCGAGTGGAACTTGCTGTTGCGGGCAACTGCGATGAGCACCAGGAGGTTCTCTACTATGATGGCACAGCACAGGAGGATGATGAGGGCCGAGGCCACCTGACGGGAGGGCGTATCCTTCATGTCGGGACTCTCCTTGGTGTAATTATAGTGTTCCCTGACCTTGCTGGAGCTTAGGTACTCTGAGTACACGCTGCCCATGGTGGGGCTCAGTAGCCAGCTGGGGCCATGGGGCTGTTGATGCTGCAGAGAGAAAACACAGACAGACAGACAGGTCAGTGTGGTGGCTGCAGCCTGGGCTGACTCTGGACTGGGCTGTGGTTCACATTCCAGCTCTGTCACATGAAGTCAGAATTATCATCATCTCTGCTTTACAAATGGGGGGGGGGGCTTCCCAGGTGGCACTAGTGGTAAAGAATCAGCCTGACAAATGCAAGAGAGGCAAGAGACACAGGTTTGATCCCTGGGTCGGGAAGATCCCCTGGAGGAGGGCATAGCAACCCATTCCAGTATTCTTGTCTAGAGAATCCCATGAACAGAGGAGCCTGGCGGGCTTCAGTCCACAGGGTCACAAAGAATCAGACAAGACTGAGCGATTGAGCAAATGAGCACTGCTTTACAAATGGGAAACCCAGAGAAGTCAATTCACTTTCCCAAAGCCTCAAAACTACTCAGTGGCAGAGCCTCAGAGACCCACTCCAAAGCGACTAAAACCTCTAGGCTACAGCATCTTGCAAAGGAACAGAAGCTCCCCTAAAGGGCATAAGAGACATGAAGTGGACTTCTGGAAGCCTTACCCACCCACCCAGACAGGGAGTCTTAACCAGAACCTGGAGGCTTGTCTCCTTTCTCGAATACACTGGAGCCTCAGGCCCCATGCCGCCTGCCAACCTGGGTCAGCGAGATGCTGGTTGCTGATAGCACCATCCCCTGCTCATTACCACCCACTGCTCTGGATTTCAGGCTGGGTTTAAGCCTAGAGGCCCTGGGTGTTCCCAAGATAAGGTTTTGGGGAGACACCAGGGCGGCCCCAAGGTTTGAGCATCACAGAGGTCACATCATTCAAGGACATAGACCTTGCAGGCAATCCAGGGTTCAGCCCCACTCCCACATCTGACATGGTGTGGAACATTGGGCCAAGTCACTTGATGCTTGGTCTCTAGGTCTCAACGGCCTCATCTGTGCAATGGGGAGAAGAAAGCCCATTTCAGAGGGGTGATGGGAAAATCCTATTGAATGATACATGCAGCACATTTAGCACATAGCAGGCACACAATAAATATTAGCTAATATTATTAGCTCCCCTCTTCCTGCCATGCCATAGGGAGGGACTAGGTGCCTTCCTCCCAGTCTTTTGGGAGGGGATGCAGAGTGAGCCAGCTGGGCAAGAGTCCACAACAGCCTGTTCTCATCAGCACCATCTAGCCCTGCCCTGGGACACAGGGTCTTAGCTGGGTGGGCAGGGCCCCGTGGCACCCCCCTCCCTAGCCAGGATGAAATCCAGATGTGAGGGCCTTGGAACACACAGGGTGGAGTCCTTGCTCTCCAGTCACATCCGGTGTGGGGAAGGCTGGGAGGGGATGATGGGATGGGGGAGCCACAGGAGACCCGTCTGGGAGGTCCTGGCTGGGAGGATGGGGCAGCTGGGCCAAAGTCATGTGAGTGGTGAGGGGGCGTGCAGCCCCGCGGGGAAGAGGAGGGGACGGTATTCCCTTCCATGAAAGCCTGAGTCACCCCTCTGCCAAGGAAAACTGAGCCGTGGGGGGGAGGGGGCGAGAAGGAGCGCGTAGGCAGAGAGGGTGAGAGGCCAATACCATGGCCTTCCCCCAGCTTGGGAATTGGGGCGGGGGCCGGGAGGTGGTCTCAGAGGAACTGGTGTAAGGTGTGCCTTTCACGAGGGCCACAAGGGGGGTCAGGAGGAAGCTCCAGACCAGCAGTTAGTTAATGGAGTGGGAGGGCGCGGGAACAGCCCTCCCCAAGTCCCTGGAAACATGCCTTGCAAGGACCACACGTGCATGCCAGGAGCACCGGTTCCAGAAAAGGCTGGTTAGGCCGGTTCTCTGTGAGCCTGGGAATGATGAGGGGCTTCCGGGGTCGTCCAGCCATCTCAGTCTCGGACACCCCCTCGGAGGGGCGCCCTGGCCCCCGGCCTGACAGAGGCAGCTGCTCCCCCTGGGCAAAAGGACATCCGTCCTAGTTTGGGAACAGAGAAAGGCTTGTGCGCATCCCCAGGGACTGTCGCTCCGCCCAGATCGCCACACAGAGGCCCCTTGTTCCCCTGCCGGACGGGGCCCAGGCGCCCCGATGCCCTCTGCCCATTGCAGCGGGCTTGGCCCAAGTCTTGGGCCTTACCAGACAGACAGTCCGGCCAGAAACAGTCCCGCTCTCTGATTGGCTCATTTTCAATCCCAGAATATTGAGCAACTCAGGCCTATTGGCCGGAGCTTTGCATCCTCGACGTTTGATTGGCCCAGTTGGGGGCGCTCTACGGCTTGCACTACTGAGCCGGCCCTTTCCAGGCGGTTGGAGCTCGTTTCTTTTCGAGGACATTGTTAAGACTGTGTGGATGTCCCCCGGGAGAGTCTGAACCACAGCCTGACCGCTGGGTCACCCCGACCAGTCACCCTCGGGCTGCCCTAGCCTACTGGCCCCCTCCTGGGGATCATAATTGAGAGTCGAGGGCCCGTGGCAGGTCTGGGAAGCACCCTTGCTGGTGGGCTAGAAGCCCAGGGTGCACCCCCAGCACCGCCCCTCAAACCCCTCTGCTGTCTGGCGGCCCAGAGAAAGATTGATGGCCGATTCCTAGAGAAATAAGAAGTGGTTTCAGTCCTCATACCCCAGGGACTGACCAAAATGTCGTCTTCTTCCTTGGGAGACTACCCTCACTTCTTATAGCCTCAGAAGGAAGGGTGGTTAGTTAGAGAAGAGGAGTGCCTCTTTCTTCTCCACTAGGACGTCGCCTAAGGCAGGTTCACGATTCCCAGAAAGAGGAACCAGGGTCTGGAGGCTGGAGCTGGCACAGTCACCCTGAGGTAAATACAGGCCTGGCCTGCTTCCCCTCCCTGCATCAGGCTCCCAGGCGTGGCTAATGCAGGGCCTGACTCCTCTTCACCTTCATCAAGGCAGTCACCTCCCAGATGCTCAGTAAGAGGTCACTAGGTTCAGCACTGGGGAATGGCCAGGCCTGAAGCAAGAGGGACAAGCGATGGGGTTTGGAGGGAAGGAAAGAGAGACACACGAAGACTGTTCAGGGGGAGATTAGGAGAGAGGAAAGCAGGAGGAAGTCTCAGTGGCTTCCAGAAGCCCCTCCCGCAAGTTCTATGGAGGCATGCCCTGTGGTTACTGATCCTCTGGGCATTCACAGGTCCCATGCCCCTTGCCCTAGGGTATCCCCGTGGGCTCAGTTTCCCTTCAGTTGCCCTTTACTTCCCAGGTGGCCCGGTGGTAATCTGACTGCATTTCAATCCCCGGGTCAGGAAGATCCCCCGGAGGGGGAAAAGGCAACCCACTCCAGTATTCTTGCCTAGGAAATCCCACGGACAGAGGAAATCCCTGGCGGGCTACAGTCCGTGGGGTCACAAAGAGTCAGATACGACTAAGCTGGCGCGCATGCATCCATGCCCCCCTATACTGCCATTCTCCATGCAGCAGCCAGGGGGAGCTTTTAAATTTATAGCTTCAACATGTCACTCCTCGCCTCCAAACTCTTCCTTGGTTCCCCAGTATCCAAAGTGGCCCCTGCCCACCTCCATTCATCCCACTCTTCCCCCAGAGCCATTCCACTGGACCATGCTGGCCTCTCATGTTTCAGCCCCATGCCTACCTAAGAGCTTTTGCCTCTGCTGTTTCTTCACCTGGCATGGCCTTCCTCTTTCAGGTTTCTGTTTCGTGGCCTCTAACCACTAGGCTATCCTAGCCACCTTCCCTAGGCCCTTTCTATCACAGCGTCTTTTATTATATTCATAGCACTCTCCAATCTCAGAAATTATCATTGTATTTCTTGTTTTTTGTCAACTTCCATGGTTGAATGTGTGTCAGAGGCCAGCAGCTAAATCCTTCAGCCCCTGGAAGGATGCCTGGCATACTTAGAAAGCACTCAGAAAATGTGTGGGACGGATGGATGAATGGATAGATGGATGAATAGATGAATGAATGAACAAGTGAATGAGGGCCCCCGAGGGTGGAAGCTCTTAAACTCAGCCCTGGCTCAGACAACAGTAAAGGAGGCAACAGACACCTCTGGTCCGCGGGCAGGCCACCCCCACCAGGCGAAGCCCAGCATCTCCTTGGAGACACAGCACAGCCCGCCCCCGCCCTCAGGCAGTAGTCTCGGCCTCCTTATCTGGCGGTGGAATGCACGGTATCCACACTGGCTGCCTCTGGGGCCGCGCCTCCTTTCTTCCGCGACAGCCACACGCAGGGGACCCCCAAGTCTCCAAGTGGGGGTGGGGGACGCCTGTGCATCCAGCCCGGGGCCCCGCCTCGGTCTTCCCAGAGGACTGGGGAGAGGCGGGGAGAGGGTCCAGCGACAGCTGCGCCGCGAGTGCCGCGCCCGTGTTGCTCCACGCGGGACACCGTGGGCTCAGCGCGTGGCGCCTGGAGTGTCTGACTAGGGCAGAGTCTGGTGAGGGGATGGAAATCCCCGGTGAGTCAACTCGTGCCCGAAGGAGTGGGCGAGGTTCCCACGCTTGTCTGGGCCCAGAACCGCGCGGGGTCCGCGCCACGCGTGCCCGGGCCCGCGCCCCTTCCCCAGGCCCCAGGGGAAAGAAGAGGCGCCGAAGCCACGCAGTCAGGTTCACTTTCCTTTCAGAACAAAGTCACGACTCCACGGGGGGCAGGGCGGAGGACTGGAAGAGATGAGCTACACAGGGAAACTGAGGCAGGGGACCAGACGCTCAGGAGGTGGGCATCTGCCCTCCTCGGGGGCCCCGCCCCTTGGCTTGGCGGTACCGCGGCGCGCAGCACCTTTCGCCTTCGTCCAGCCGGAGTCAGCAAAGAGGGGCGTCCTCCCCCCCATATACAGTCCCCAAACCCCTGGTCCGGGGGGCACGCCATCCTGCCTCCCAGTCTCCGACCGAAAGCGCTTGGATTCCGCCTTCTTCTCCCGGCCAACTTCCTGCCGCTGGAGAAGGCGGGGAACTCAGTCTGGGGGTTCGCGGCCAAGGCAATGGGGCCTCCTAGGGTCGTGGAGAGGGCGCACG